AGGTACCTGCACAGCTGGGAGTACAGGCATCCAGAGGCTTTTGCGGGGAAGAGAGTGGTTGTGATTGGCATCGGGAACTCTGGAGCGGATGTGGCTGGCGAGATCAGTCGTGTTGCTGAGCAGGTTGGCATTTTACCCTCATTCTGACATCAAGGTGAGAAGACAGAGTTCTTACTGGGCGGCTTCTCCTCTCTCGCAGGTTTTCCTCAGCACGAGACGAGGCGCGTGGATTTGGAACCGGGTGTGGGATGACGGCAACCCCATGGACACCGCCCTCTTCACCCGGTACAATAGTGCACTCCAAAAACTACTGCCCTCATTCCTCATCAACAGGTGGGCAGAGAAGAAACTGAACGCAAGGTTCAACCATGCCAACTACGGGCTGCAGGCTGCACACAGGTACGTGCACCTGGGCTGGGACGGCCAGGCAGCTCAGGAGAGTCGGTGGCCCCAGAGGCACAGGAGCAGGGCACGCCCCAGGCTAAACTTCTCAGGACTTTTTACTCCTTTGGTCATTCCTGCTCCTTCCTCTGGGGTGCCACAGCAAAGCCAAGGAGGGGGGGCGCAGGGAGCTCAGCGCTGGTCTCATGAGACCTGTGCCACCTGCCATGCCACCCTTCACAGCACGTGCCCCTTCACTCTCTGAATTCTAAACAAGATCCACAGYGACCCTCAGGCTGACGTCCACCAGGACAGTCCACCATCCACACGGACAGGCCCCACACTCAGGCCCAGCCACCCCTGGCCCTCCTCACTGCTGTGGCCTCTGTCCTGCTCCTCTAGGACCCATGACCATGGCCACCCTAGAACTCACCACCCAGGCGTGCAGTGCCCCTGGATGTCCCAGGACCCTCTTGCTTGGGACATCTCACCCCAGCAGTTCTGACCAGGACCGGCCCTCCCCCCTGGCCACACTCGCCTGGCTCTTCCCCCTCTGGGGCCACTCCTCCTCTGTGGCCTTTGGTCCCTCCCCCACCTGGCCCAGGAGCTTGGTGTTGTCCCTGTCTCCATTCCTGCTCCTCTCCCCTCCTCCCCACAGGTTCCTGGATTAAAAAACAGTCAAGTAAAATATCGTAAAGACTTCAACTAGGCCAAGCAGGCAGCGACAGCAGAGAGTCGGTTCTCACCAGTATGTGCAGAAAAAATCACGTAGCTCAGGGCTGGGCTCATGAGGTGGGTGTGCGACCCCAGTTTCTTCCAAAACACGGTTTTCTCAGGATGTAGAAGACAGGTAGTGACAGCAAAGGACGCCTGGGAATAGAGGGACTCGAGCTCAAACCTCCTGTTGCAGTCACCAAGCGTTGGCTGTCTCTGAGCCCCACTCTGCCCTCGAGGGTCACACTGTTTGAGTAGCTTTGGTTTTGGGTTTTGGCCACACCGTTTTTCTGTTGTTGTTGTTTTTTGTTGTTCATTTGCAGCAAGTCTTAGCAAAGGATATATATAAAAGAGTACGTACAAATACGCTTACTCTTTTATCTGTATTCTCATTTCTTTCTTGTCCTTAACCCACAGGAATCCTGCAGACGTGCATCTCTCTGTGCGATCTGCACACAGGCACGTCTTGTCTTGACTGTGGCTCCCCTCCCTCCCACCCTATCTTACCCTACATCTCTCCCCTTCCCATGGTTCCCTTTCCCTTCCCTCACCTTTTTTCCAGTGTATGAAAGAAAATATGCAATTCTTGGGCTGTTGTTTTTGTTGTTGTTGTTGGCATATTTTTGCTTAACATGATGTCCTTCTGTGCCATCCATTTTCTGACAATGACATGATTTTGTTCTTCCTCGTGACTGAGTAATACTCCAYTATATAAATGGACCACATGTTCTTGGTCTGTTTATCTACCTCCAGGCTCCCAAGCTGATTCCATTACTTGGTTAGTTTGAATAGTGCCAGTTGACATCGGTATCCAGCTTCTAGTGGACTTTCAACTAAGATGTTGTGACGTGTCCAGTTGGATGTTTTGGCTCAGGACTATTTTGGCTGCTCAGGGTCTTTTGTGCTTGGGTTTGAATTTAGGATGTTCTTTCCAGTTCTGTGAATAATGTCACTGGTACTTTGAAGGGAACTGCACTGAATCTGTAGATCATTTTGTGGTGGGACACTTTAACAGGATTGTCTCACTCCATGAACATGGGAGGCCTTTCCACATTCTACCGTCTCCTTCAGCCTCTTTCTTCAGTCTGGGTCACTTTGTAGAGGTCTTTACGCTTTGTTGGGTTGGGTTCTAGAATTTTTTTTTGAGGCTGTTGTGAGTGGCATTAATTCTTAGAGATCTCATTATTGACATATAGAAAAGCTCCTGAATTTCACAAGGGGCTTCTGTGTCCTGCTGCTCTGGTTCTAAGAGTCTTGAGAGGAGGCTCAGGGTTTCCTGGGGGCGTAATCCTATCAGATGCAACCAGGACAGTGTGGCTTCCCCTTCCCCATGCTGGCCTTCAGTGTCTTTCTCTTACCTAGTCTCAGAGGCTAGAATTTCATGGACTGATGCATAAGAGTGGTGAGAACGCACTCCCTGGGCAGCTCCTGGTTCAGATGAGAGGCTTCCACTTTTCCCATTTGTCATGTGAGGTCTGTCACATGGCAGTGGGATCCTCCAGACCTAATTTGYTCAGGACTTTATCCTAAAGGAATATGAAGTTTATCCAAGGCTTTTCCTGCTTCTGAAGATTCTTCAGTTTTATTTTGACTCTGCTTTGATTCCCTATTACATTTTCAGTTTGTATATATAGAGCGAGCCTTGCATCCCTGGAAGGAAACCCACTTACTGTGATGGAGATCTTTAGACATGCCGCTGACTTCACTTTGCAGCATTTCATTGAGGATATTTTCATCTCAGTTCAACAAGGATGCGGGTTTATACCTTGCTCTCTTTTTCTTTTTGTTGTATCTTTTTCAGCTTTTCACACTAGGATAATCCTGGCTTTGCAGAATTGGAAGAGGTCCTTCCCTCTGTGTCTTAGGAACACTTTGAGACACTGCATTAGTTCTTCTTTAAAAGTTTGGTGAAATTCACAGTGAGTCCCTCCAGTCCTCRGCTTGCTTGTTAGAAGACTTTTTATTACTGCTTCAATCTCAATGCTTCTTATTGATCATTTAAGTTTTTACATCCTCTTGGTTCAATTTTCGAAGGTCTTATGTGCCCAGAAATGTGTGCATTTTTTTTGAGATTTTCTGTATATATCATTACTCATAKTTTCCCTGGTAACATTTGAATTCCAGTAGTTATCTGTTGCAATGTCCTCTTTTCACCTCTAATTTTGTTTTGGAYGTTCTTCTCTCTGGCTAGTTAAGGGTTTGTCAATTTTGTTGACCTTTTCAAAGAATTCTTTGTTTCATTGATCCTTTGTGTTGTTCTTTTAGTCCCTATTCTATTTATTTCTTCCATGATCTTTATGATTTGTTTCCTTCTACTGACTGTGAGTTTAGTTTGCTCTTTTCCTAAGACCTTGAGATGCATCCTTGGGTTTCTATTGGAGGTATGTTTTAATGCAGGCTCTCATGGCTCCAACCTCCTCTTTGTGCTGCTCTGCTGTTTCCCACAGTTTCTGCTATGGGTTGTGTTTTCATTCAGTTCTRAGAATTTTAAATGATTTTTTAGTGATCCATTATTCGTTCAAAAGTGTATTATTCCATCTCCATGTGTTTGTATAATTTCTACAGTTTCTCTTGCCATTGATTTCCAGTTTTATTACATTATAATTTGATGAGGTATGCAAATTTGTTTCAATTCTTTGTTTAGATAAGACTTCCCTATGGCCTAATATATAATCTGTTTTGAAAAAAGTTTCATGGGTTGACAAAAAAATGTATATTCTGCTGATGTTCGAGGGAATTTTCTGCAGATGTCTGTTAAGTCCATTTGATTTATAGTATAACTTAGATGTTCATTTGCAGTATTGTTTTTTTTTGGGGGGGTGGTGTTGAGGTTTTGTTTTGTTTTGATTTGGTCTGATGATCTGTGGGTGAGAGAGGGGTGTTGGATTCACCCTGTTCTTATTGTCTTGGGCCCTGTCTCTCTCCCTTTATTGTTAATAGTCTTTGTTGATAAGATTGGGAGCCCCAACATATGTTTATAACTGTCACATCTTCTTGATGAACTGCTCCCCTTATCAATATGTMGTAGCTTAAAGCCTGTTTTGTCAGGTATGAGTAGGGTGGTTCCTTTTAGAGTACATTTTCTTGGAATACCATTCTCCATCATCATTTTCAAGGTGTGAACTTTTTTGCTGATGAGGTGAGTTTCTTGCAGAAAGAAGATACAGGCTTTTCTTTTTTAATCTGATCACACAGTCTGCATATTTTAATTGGAGAATTAAGGCCATTTATATTCAGGAAGGTCTTTTTTTCAGTTATAGATAGACTTTATTTTTATGTAGTGCTGAGGATGGAGCCCAGAGCCTCAGACCTGCTAGGCAAGTGCTCTAACACTGAGCCACACCCCAAGCCCATCCAGGGTTATTTTTGAAAGGTATATATTTGTACCTATCGTGTGATTATTTTTCTTTTGGGTGTTTTACATATCCTCTGTTCATTTCTTCATCTCTTAATCTTCTTGGAGCTTGAATTTTTTGTGCATTAGTACTGTTTGATTCTTTACTAATTCTCCTTTGCTAATCTTATTCTTCCAGTGAACTTTACTTCCCCTCTGTGCCTTCATCATTGTCCACTGTCCTTCCTCTTCAGGGTGTATGATCTCCTTAAGTACCTTCTGTAAAGCTGGTTGACTGGTCGCAAGTTGCCTTACCTCGAGCTTCTCGAAGGACTTCATTACTTCCTCTATTCTGGAGGATGTCTTAGCTGAGTATAGTAATCTAAGTGGGCAATTATTTTCTTGAAACACCCTTTGACGTCCTCCTTACCTTTAAAATTTCTACTGAGAAATCTGCTGACGTTTATGGAGGAAAAAATGAGTAAACAGTCCCTCCTAGCTGAGGTGCTGGAAACACGGTCTCCAGATGGCAAAGGTTGGAATTCAACAGGTGAGGGAGGGACAGGGAGTGGGTCACAGCTGCTGCTTGCTGGAACTCCTCTCAGGTCTCACAAAACAAGTGGGGCAAAGAGCAGACTGCATTGTACCTTTCTCACTGAAAACATTAAGGGCGTGTTGACCATGCCAAGAGTCGGTTCTCTCCAGTGACTTTAGACTGTGTAACTAGGGGCATGGCACAGGTCAGAGCCACAGCAAGCCCCTCTCACTGAGCGGTTTGGTGGAGTGTGGCTAGCACTAGGAGATACAGTCACTCCAAGGAGAAGGTAGACTGAATGTCCAGGGATGTGACAAATGTCCAAGGTGCAGCAATCACAGAATACCTCTGAGGGGAGAGGAGCAACTGGACCACCTAGTTTTGTGCTGGGATTGCTAGCCTTCATCGCAGCACCTTCGAACGTGCCTCCCACAC